CCGGTCCAGGAGCCTGACAGTGACCCTGACAGTGACCCGGTCCAGGAGCTCAGAACCAAGCTGTGAGGTTCTGGCAGCAGCAGAGGGCTGATTATTACCATGTTTGGGCAGGCTCGCTCCGTACAGGCCCAACCCAAACCGCAGCCCGAACTCAGATTCCTCTGAGCTTTCCCCCAAAGCAGCAGCAGAACAGTTCGGAACCGGTCCACTCGAACCGGTCCATTCTCTGCGGCAGCTGAGGATGTGGGACTTCAGGACCACATGTGAATCAGAACGGCCCGCCCGGTTCGGACGTGTTTAATGTGAACGAACCCGGGACTGAAGCCGGGTCTTTACCGGGACGGAACCGACAGGAGGGGCGGACATCTGTGGCGCACGCGCGGCGTCGCGGTCCTTTTCATCGTTTCTCTCTTTCGTCTGGACTGCGCGCGACTCGCGCACGAGATGTGGAGCAGAAAGTTTGGGCTCGAGCTCCTGACAGGTGAGACCGGGCCCCGGTACCGAACCGAAGCCCAGAAGATGAAAGTTTCCGCTCAGGAGGAGGAGGAAGAGGCTCACCTTCCTCTGCTGCTTCTCCCAGGCCGGGTCCAGGAGCAGGTCCCGGTCCCAGTCGTCCTCCTGGTGCATGTAGGTCCCGTCTCCATCATAGGGCTCCATGCTGCTGGTCCTCGGTGTCTCTGCGGCTCCTGGAGGATCCTCCGACCAGCAGCAGCTCAGCTCTGAGGCGGCGCAGAAACTTTGTTCCGACTCATTAAGACCGAGGACCATCCCTGCCTGTGATTGGACAGCGCACAGCTCAGACTCCGCCCCCTTTGTGCCGATTGGTTGACTCAGCTGTCACTCCTGAGGCTAATATCCAAGGTTGCGTGCACAGGTTGATCCGAACCTCAGACACTTTGGTGGTCTTCAGGAGGAATAAGGCTTTGCTGTCGCCCGCCGCCGGAACAGTCCAAGATAGCCTGTTAGCAAAATATTTCATGAACCACTGGGTAAGTTGAAATGAAACCTGCTAACTGATAAACTTCAGTCAACCTAATTCAAAATGGCTGCCCCAGCCTTGAAAACACAGAGAGCTCTGACTCAGAGCTGATACTCCGTGTGGTAGTAGCTGAGAGTCATCCCGCCCTCTGAGTCAGAAACTGTCACCTTGTTTTCAAGGTTTTACCACAAGAGGTCCAAAATCTGCATAATTTCTCCTCAGAGGCTGCAACTCTGGCCTGACAGGTGAGCGATATGCATTCCTTACAGGAGACAGGCGATATGCATTCATTACAGGAAACGGGTGATATGCATTCATTACAGGAGTTGGACTGTACATTCATTACAGGAGTTGGACTGTACAATCCTTACAGGAGACTAGCAATATGCATTCCTTACAAGTGGCAAGTGATATGCATTCCTTACAGGAGGTGGGCAGTATACATTCCTTACAGGAGACTAGCAATATGCATTCTTTACAGGAGGTGGACTGTATACATTCCTTACAGGGGCGGACAATATGCATTCATTGCAGGAGGTGAGCAATATGCATTCCTTGTAGGAAGTGGACAGTATACATTCCTTACAGGAGGCGAGCGATATGCATTCCTTACAGGAGGTGGACTGTATACATTCCTTACAGGAGGCGAGCAATATGCATTCCTTACAGGAGGTGACCGATATGCATTCCTTACAGGAGGCGGACGATATGCATTCCTTACAGGAGGTGGACAGTATACATTCCTTACAGGAGGCGGAAGATATGCATTAATTACAGGAGGCGAGCGATATGCATTCATTACAGGAGGTGGACAGTATACATTCCTTACAGGAGGCGAGCGATATGCATTTCTTACAGGAGGCGGACGATATGCATTCCTTACAGGAGGCGGACGATATGCATTAATTCCAGGAGGTGAGCGATATGCATTCCTTGCAGGAGGCGGACAATATGCATTCCTTATAGGAGGTGGACAGTAAACATTCCTTACAGGAGGCGAACGATATGAATTCCTTACAGGAGGCGAACGATATGAATTCCTTACAGGAGGTGAACGATATGAATTCCTTACAGGAGGCGAGTGATATGCATTTCTTACAGAAGGCTGACGATATGCATTCCTTACAGGAGGCGAGCGATGCGCATTCCTTACAGG